TCTGTCTGTCTGTCTGTCTGTCTGTCTGTCTGTCTGTCTGTCTGTCTGTCTATCATCTATCATCTATCTATCTATCATCTATCTATCTATCATCTATTTATCTATCGTTGGGGAACTCTGATCTAATTTATATGGCACCACAATTACAGAATATTTGTCAGCCAATAAAATATGAAAATGTTAGAAAATACAAAAGCATATACAGGTGTGGATAGTGGACATGGCAATATCTGAGGACAGCAGAATAGAAGAGAAAGAACCGTGTGTGTGTGCGTGTGTGTGTTTGTGTGTGTGTGTCACAAAATACAAAGACCCTCAAATAGAACTAGGAGAATGTTTGTGGCAAAAGAAAGCCAAGACAGTACCAATAGCAATAGGTGCCTTGGGTACAATCCCAAAATATCTGGAGCACAACTTCAGTACCATCGGCATTGACAGATTCGCCATCAGTCAATTGCAAAAGGCAGCTTTTCTTGGAATAGCTTACATCCTGTATCAGTCCTTTTAATACCATCGCACAACACCATCTGCCTTTGCTAATCCTTGGGAAGGCCTCAATAGGTGGATAAAAATACCAAATGTAGCCTAAAAATCTGGCTGATGGTCAGCCAGAACAAAGTTCTTTAAGAACGAGTTGCTCAAATACCGAATATTAACAAACATGTTCTTCCTAAGCACAATGACATGTCATAAGAAAAGGATTTATTCATAATGCAGGTTGTTCATAAGGCCTCTTATAGGAATTAACATTGAAAGAGAAAAAAATGGAGGCAACTGCAGGATCACGGTATAAAAACACATGCTGAAACTCATATGTATCGCATTAAAAAAAGCTCTTAGTTTGATCGGTTATCGTGTAGAAGTTAAACACTGAAGTACATCATATCCAGACATCTTAGAAATGTAGCAGGTGTTTGTGTTCCCAAGAGAAGTCTTCCAACTTCAGTTTACATGTTAACAGCTAGCATAAAAATAACACCTGTTAGACAAGGTATGTAACAATTGCTTCTCAGATTCTTTTTTTAATACTTCCATAACTTGTTGATAGACGGCATAGGAAAATTCAGCACTTGCTGGATAGATACAAAGCTGAATCGAGGATCTGGCATTCTGGTTTGTTCTATTTTAACCAAATAACAGAGTTGGAAGGGACCTTGGAGGTCTTCTAGTCCAACCCCTGCTCAAGCAGGAGACCCTATACCATTCCACAAAAGTGGTTTTCAAGTCTCTTCTTAAAATCCTCCAATGATGGAGCACCCACAACTTCTGCAGGAAAACTGTTCCACTGATTTAATTGTTCTAACTGTCAGGAAATTTCTCCTTAGTTCTAAGTTGCTTCTCTCCTTGATTAGTTTCCACCCATTGCTTCTTGTCTTTCCTTCAGGTGCTTTGGAGAATAGCTGGACTCCCTCTTCTTTGGGGCAGCTCCTCAGATATTGGAACCCTGCTATCATGTCACCCCTAGTCCTTCTTTTCTCTAGACTAGCCAAACCCAAATCTTGAAACTGGTTTTTATATATATTTATCCGCCAGGCTAAAATTTCAAAAGTATCTGAATTCCTGGAAGCCATCTGTTAGATCTGGAGGAGTGGGCGCAATAACGGAGATGAGGCATCTATAGTGACTCAACTCTTTAATAGTGACTTCAGAACAGAACAGAACAACAACTTGGGCAGCAGCAGCTCTTTTTATAGAGCTGGCTGCTGTCACAACCAATGAAATTGAATTAACCGCTCTAAAAGCGTCCAATCAGAGACGGCCCACTGTCAGCCAATCAGGTCAGCCAGAGGCGGCCAATCACGATTTGCTTATCCGCGGGCCAATCAGAAGTGCAGGATTACGAGCCTGCTGCTGAAGTAAAGCTAGTATGATTATTGATGAATGAGTTTACTTAGTTCGTAACACCATCAATGATTTTTTCTCCTTTCCAGAAGACTGGGAACAGCTCACCATTATTATAAACCACTCTTATGATGTAACGTTTTAGGGAAAGCTTTTAAAGACAGTTTAAAGGGAGGCGGTGGCTAAGTGGCTAAGACACTGAGCTTGTCAATCAGAAAGGTCGGCAGTAGCTTCTCTCCTGCATTAGTTTCCATCCATTGTTTCTTGTCCTGCCTTCAGGTGCTTTGGAAAATAAGTTGACCCCCTCTTCTTTGTGGCAGTCCCTCAAACACTGGAAGACTGCTGTCATGTCACCCTTAGTGTCAATACAATGTAAACATCATAGAAGACAAGACTTTACAAAATTAAACCTGAGTCATCGTGCAATCCAGCATAGTCCTTGTCCCATTGTCATTGCTGACATCTGGACTTTGGAAAAAATAATCTTTCAAGGAAGTGGACTGATGTTAAAAAAACAACAACTTTCAAGCAAGGGGACTCACCGCATGTTTTAATTGAGCAAAACTCCCAGGGGGTGTTTGGGTCAAGGGTGTAACACCATGGCCTCGGTTTACCATCTGGATTTCGGCAATAGTTATCATCAAAGCCTTTGTCAGGGTATCTGCAAACCACACCAACAAGCATGTTAACCGAGACAGCTGCCAGGAGAAGACAAGCAGATACAAGATATATTCCCCCTTCAATGACCTCCAGCCCAGAGAAGAATAGATACAATGAGCCTCTGTGGTGCAGTGGTTAGAGTGCTGTACTGCAGGCCACTTCTGCTGACTATCGGCTGTTCAAATCCCACCAGGCTCCAGGTTGACTCAGCCTTCTGTCTTTCCAAGGTGGGTAAAATGAGGACCCAAATTGTTGGGGGCAAGAGGCTGACTCTATAAACTGCTTAGAGAGGGATGTAAAAGCACTATAAAGCGGTATATAAGTCTACGGGCTATTGCTATTTCTACATTCCCTCCCAATGACCTCCAACCCAGAGAAGAATAGATACATTTCTCCCCCAATGACCCCACAACCCAGAGAAAGTGTCCAAACACATGAGCTACTGAATGACCAGGGAGACAGGAGGCTAATGGCTCACGAAGAGATCCCTCAACAGAAATCCTATCTTGACTAGTAGGACCTCTTTCCATAGGATGTAGACCATCTGGGGGTGAGGTCAAATCTGCTAATTGGTCATTCTGACATGATAGCCTTAATTGGTTTCCATCCAAGGGCCCAATTAAGTGTGAGCAATGTAAACATTTCATGATATGGCAAACTCGTTAAGCCAAAGGGATCGTTTAGTTCAACAGCCCTGGGTTCAAAGCTATTTCCAACAAGCCGGGTTCTATTTTTAGGAGCCAGCCATTATTCCAAGGTCATACCCTCATTTCCAGTCACTGCAGGGAACAAGTTGAGAAGAAATTAAATTTCCCTTTGCCCTCCTGTATCTTGTCAGGGTTATTTTTTATTTTTTTTTGAACCCTGCTTCTAATTACTCTCGATATCCTTTCCCTAGTTATTTGTGAAGGAAATCAAGAGGTGGCAGACTTAACAAGACCGTGGTGAGATTCTTGTATGAATAGCTTTCCATTATTCATTCAGAACTCCTTATTTGTTGGTTTTACGTTTATTATTTCTGGTCTGCTGGCAGGAGAAGGTCTGATTGGATTTAAACCATCTTTGACTGGAGCCCTTTCAAAATTTCCACTGATGTGGTCCTCACCGGATGATTAAAATCTAATTTACAATTAGCCTACTGGAGAAAGTTCTTTTTATTCTCAAGGGTCTTTAAATAATATATATATATATATATAAAACTTATTTGAACACTGCAGAATTCTTTTTCCTTTTAAGAGATGAGGCTCAATATGATTATTTTTCCTTGGAAAGAAACCAGGAGGAGATGGCATCCTCTGACTGGATCTCTGTGGAGCGGCTTGCCAACAGATGTTATGAGTGCTGCATCACCGGAAATTTCTAAGAGATTCGACAGCCATTTTTCTGGAATGGTATAGGAGTCTCCTGCTTGAGCAGGAGGTTGGACTAGAAGACCTCCAAGGTCCCTTCCAGGTCTATGACTCTACGATTCTTTTCTCCGAGAACATTTAAGCAACCAAAACAGCTGTTTTTATCCAAATCTGCAGATGCCAGTGACATCACCAATAGACTTAAGAGGGCCCAATTGCAACACACAACCCAGCTTCACCTGCCCAGCTGTGTCCTTGGGGATATTCCCCCCCCCCAATCTCTTCCCGCAGATTATTCTTCCCTAATCTAATGCAGCAAATTCTACTTATCGACTTTTGTGGTTCAACAGCAAAGCTTTCATAGGAAGGTGTTTTTCTTTTTTAATCGGCCTTCTAAAAGTCATTCTTGCTCAGCCATGGGGGTCGAGAGAAAAACAATTCTTTGCCCCGAGGGATCCTTGGTGCCCTCTGAGCTTGGTTGTTTTCTTGCAGATGTTTCATTACCCAAATACTAGGAAGTATCAACAGTGCAGATGGGTGCTAGCACTGATGATGTCACCTAGTTGGGTAATGAATTATCTGCAAGAAAATAACCAAGCTCAGAGGGCATCAAGGATACCACAGTTGCCATCCTCCTACTCCTCCCCTTCCTCCTCTTCTCCTTTCACTTCTCCTTTCACTTCTCCTTCTATCTCCTCCTTCTCCTCTCCACAAACCTCATTCCCTTCTAGAACTGATGATGTTACCTAGATAGGTCATGAAACTACTATGGCTTCCAAAGCTGACACATCTGCAAGAAAACAACCAAGCTCAGAGAGCACTAAGGATCTCACAGTCTCCTCCTCCTCCTTTTCTTGCTTCCATTTGTGCTTCTATCTCCTCCTCCTCCTCCTCCCCTTTCTCCTTCTCCTCTCCATGAACCTCACTCCCTTCTACAACTGATGTTCTTACCTAGCTAGGTCAAGACACACCTGCCAGAAAACAACCAAGCTCAGAGAGCACCAAGGAGCCCTAATCTCTAGTCTTCCTATTCTCTTACTGACTCTCGTTTTGGCCTTCATGGCAAGTAGAAGAGGGACCTGTGTCCTTCATTAATGACCCAGTCTGCTTTTGAAGTAGGTGGGGGGAGTTATAAATAAATAAATACAGATTATTCCATTTGGCCGGAACTTCTTGTAACTTTCATAAGCAGAGAATCCAACATTTGACAAGATGAAAGTGCAACTATTTCTACAGAGATTTATATAAAAAGTAAAGCTCATTAATCATGAGAGTTATTTCAGTTTCTCTGATAAAGTGCTTCTTTCAAGTTATTTTTAAGTTCTCCGTCCTGAACCTGTCTGTGAATACCCTCTTTCCCTTTATTTTATTAAAATCCAGCTACCTGAATAATGATTTGCCTCCCTGCCTTTAATTAGGCTCTTCGTGGGTGCCAGCTTAAAAGAGATTTCTTTCTGGTGTACAATTAATATTAACTGAAAATCTTTTTTTAAGATGGAGGTATGGGAGGTGCCTGTCCCAAATTCTCTAAGAGAAAATGGTATCAAATAAAATTTAGCACGGGGTGGAGTTCATAGACTTTATGAGATGACACGAATCAATTAATAAAACAACTATAAGGGTTGATGATCATTAGCTTGGGCTCGTCTTTGATGGATGGAAATGTATGTAGAGATTATTGGGACATCACCAGTCATCTCCCTGACAGACCTTTCAGAAAACTTTACAAAACAAGGGGTCCTTTAGTGCTCTCAGGGCTTGGTTGGTTTCTTGCGGACGTTTCATTACCCAACTAGGTAACATCATCAGTTCTAGAAGGAAGAGGGGTTTGTGTGGAAAAGAGGAGGAGGAGAGGAAGAGAAGGACTGTGTGGGGTCCTTGGTGCTCTCTGAGCTTGGTTGGTTTCTTGCAGACATTTCATAACCCAAGTAGGTAACATCATCAGTGCTAGTCACTAATCATATTAGTACTGATTATGTTCCCTAGTTGGATCATCTGTGAGAAAACCAACAAGCTCAGAGAGCACTAAGGACCCCTCATTTCAAACCTGAGCTACAAAGATTCTCCTTTATGAGAGAATATTTACAAAATTAATCGATAGCTTTACAAAATAATATTTCTGGTCCAATTCCTCCTTCTATTTACTCTCATGGTGAAAGTCCATTTCTTAGTATGGTTGAAAGAGCTGGTTTCAAGCTTGATTTGGGACCTGCATTTTCATCTAGTCTACGTGCTGTTCTCAGAGATCCATCATTAAACATTCAACCAACTCAAAGGACATTTTTATTGGTCCCAGTTATTGGATCAGTTTATCAATCAGTGTTCGTTTAACTTTCCTAATAGGGGATTTTCCATAAAGCTTCATTGATGTTTCATAAGCATCCTTCTTAGATTCTGTTGAAACTAAGTAAGATTTGCTATATATATATTATTTCCTCTTTTCATTCTTTACTGGGAAGAATGTCAGGATTCCGGCAGTTCCCCCAATTAAATCATGAGTCTCGAGCCAAACTTCCAAAACTTCAAAAGGATTTATTGGGAATGGCACTGCCTGAGTGTAGTCGATTCTGAGACACATCATTCATTGTCACCCTTGACCCTGGTTTTCCCCCACCCCCTGGGAGTGCTCTTTGGTACTCCATTGCTTTAATTTCCTAAAATGCCTAGGTGCCAAAAGTCAAACATCATTCTGTTTTACAGATGTATAAAAATGGGAAAAGAATTAGCATTTTTACTTCTCTGGACGAAAAGGATGTCTATGTGGTCTCTGAAGGTCCCAACGTTGACATTCTTTGCCTGTTTCAGTGTGATCCATTGGACCTCGGTAGCCTTCGCCATTGCATGTCATGCACTCAACTGAAAAGCAGAAAATACAACAATCTCACTAAGATGATTGGGAAGGGAAAGGAAACGTGGGTGAAGGGGGGGGAGGAAGGAAGGAAAGAAGGAAGGGGAAGGAGAGACAAGGAAGAAAAGACAAGGAAGGAGAGAGGGAGGGAAGGAAAGGGGGAGGGAGGGAGGGAGGGAAGAAGGGGAAGGAGAGACAAGGAAGAAAGGGGAGGGGGAGAGAGGAAGGAAGGAATGGGAAGGAGAGACAAGACAAGGACAGAGGGAAGGAAGGGGGAGGAGGGAGGGAGGGAGGGAGGGGAAGGGGAGGAAAGGGGGGGGGGGGAGGGGAGGGGGAGGAAAGGGAGATGGGAGGGAGGGAGGAAGGAAGGGAGGAAGGAAGGGGAAGGAGAGACAAGGAAGAAAAGACAAGGAAGGGAAGAGGGAAGAAAGGGGAGGGAGGGAGAAAGGAAGGAATAGGAAGGAGGGACAAGGTAGAAAAGACAAGGAAGGAGAGAGGGAAGGAAGGGGGGAGGAGGGAGGGAGGAAGAAAGGAAGGAAGGGAGGGAGGGAAGGTGGTTTTATATATATTTGAGGAAAGAGCTCCCAATTTTGAATATCCCACTGCTCCAAAATACCATTGCTTTATTGTCAACCTACTTTCTCTGAGTTCTCACTCCTCTTTTGCTTACAGAAGAGACAAGGGAGAAGCAAAACAAACACAACAGGTTTGTTCCTTATTATTGGTGTAAACCTATTATTCAACTCTACAATGTAATTTAAAAAAAAAAAATCACGACGCGATACAGAGTTGTAGAGTTGCGGAAAGTAAACCCAGAGCAGAACGGGAGGAGTAACCGCTAACCTAACGTTCGTGACACCCAACCTCTGGCAATGTTTTCCCCGTTACCCGTTTTCAGCCCAATCCGAGACCTGGCGATCCCAACAGCCGGAGCATTACCTTCCGAGCAGAGAGGGATCTTGCAGACTTCGTGGCGTGTTTCTGGATCGCTGGTAAAACACCAAGGGCCCCCTTCTTCTCCTCGTGGATTGCGGCAGTAGTTTCTTTGAAGATCTTTACCTCGATAGCTCGAAGGTAAAAAGCTAGTTTTAAAATGATAATCATTACGGTATAAGAGCATGCACATTGGGCTCTGACCCTCTCCAATTTCATGTTAATTTAACGGTCTGATTGTGGGCTTCCTCGCCCCATATAGTTTATTTTTTTTTTTTTTAAAACAAGTTTTATTAAAAGTTTCAACAACAAACAAATCATTACATATTGAATCTTTCCCTGTCTTTCTACAATAATTTCCCCAATATTCTCATAAAACACAAACAAACACAAACAAACATAAAAAAAATCTTTTAGTAAAGTACCTTGGCCCCAGTTACCTCTCTTTGCATGGGCTAAAATAATAGCACATATCACTCTTCACATTTCTATCTTATTTAATCCATCTTAATTAAATCATTAAATTTGTATCTTTTGCCCATTCAATTATCCCTCTATCTCTTCTTATAATAAAAAAAAAATTTCTCCTGAAATCACTAATCAGAGTATGATGCCTTTCTATCCTCCCCCTAAGTTAGTAAAATTAACATTCAACATAACAAATACCCAATTTGGTTCTGCTTGGTACATTCTATCCACCAAAAATGTTTAAATACATTGTATCCTCCTTTCCTTCGATATTTTATTACATTTTAAAAATCAATCATTATTAAAAACTTCAACATTTTAATTTCTTATTAAATCTTAAACCATTCTAATTTACTATTTCAAATATAAATGTTACAATACCATCTTCTGTACCTTAGCAGAATCTTTCTTACAGAAAATTATATTTCATCCTTTGTCTCTAAAAAAAATCCCTCTTCTCCCATCCAATTTTAAAGCTTTGAGGCTTTTCTCCGCCTTTCCCCTTTCTTTCTTCCCCCACCAAATCTTCCTACCCCCCCTTCTTCTTCTAACCTCTACCTTGCTGGGATCCCTTCTCTGTTGTGTTCCCTTTTTCTCTTGTTTGTTATCATTATATTTACTTTGCATCATATTTTTCTCTTTCTCAAATGTTTTTTTAGATCTTAAGTCCTTCATTTTCCTTGCTCTCTTCCTTCCTTCTTCCTTAGATAAGTTTTGGGATTCAATGAAGATGGCGTCTTCGTCTCTTCCTTGTTGTTCTTCTTCCGTTTCCATCTGTTCCATTGTCTGTTGGTAATTGACCAGCGCCATTTCTAGAAATAGAAAAGCTTTTTCCATGCCATCTTTGCAGGCTGCTTTTGTTTGCTCATATTCATCCCTCAGGTCTTCAAAAAGGAAAGCCATTATAAATAAATCTTTTCTTTTCTTTATTCCTCTTTCTTCTTACACCAACCAAATATTCCGAGAGAAAGGCAAAACAATCCCAAAATCCACAATCCTCAATAAATCCAAGCAAGCCAAAATTCCCCCTTCCTCTTCCAGGGGTGGTATCAAACAAATAAAAAAAAAAGAATCCAAGTCTATATTTTAAAGCCTTATTAAGATTGTATTTCTGTCCTCAAGTCTTCAAGGCATCTCCTCCAACAAGATCCAA